CCATCATACCACATACCATACAATCATATGACATACATACTGCCAGGCATATCTAGGTGCCCGACCTACCCCTTCGGTCCTCTCGACCGGTGACGTTGCCTAGCATATCTGGCTGCTGGCCTACCCCTTCGGTCCTCTCGACCGGTCTCGGGGGATTATCTCACCCCTCACTACTACCACATATTATCATATAATCATTATCTGACTAGCATAGCTGGGTACTAAACTACCCCTTCGGCCCTATCGGCCGGTAACTTGGGGACTATCTCCCCTACTGCTACGATCACATAACATCATAACATGCTAACACCTAAACAAATCAAGTAGCAGTAAACACAAATAATTATCACAAAGACAATTATCTAACATACACTCCTACTGGTGGGCCGGCATTGTGGTCGTAGACCCACCGCTACTGAAAGGTAACTCACCTCGATGTCGCGTAGTGTCTGCACAATCCTTGGTACGGAAATCCTCTCGTCTCAACTCCTACACACAACCCTCCTTGATCACTAATCCGTACCCACAACCCTCCTTTACAAGGGTCAACTGAAATCCAGGTCAAAGTCAAAGTCAAAGTCAACTTTGGTCAAAGTTAACATCCAGTTGACTTGACTCGCCGAGTTGGTCCACCAACTCGTCGAGTCCCTATTCTTTCAAAATGATACAACCCCCCGACTCTACTTGTCGAGTCTAGCAAGAACTCGACGATTTCACCTTCAACCATAGCATCGGGACCATCTTCAACCGACTCGCCGAGTTCATCCTTGAACTCGTCAAGTTCATCTTCATCATATGAATGTGTCCAGTCTATGACTCACTGAGTTCTATGAACAACTCGTCGAGTCCGTCTTTATAGGTTGGGAGATTGCCTTGGACTCGCCGAGTTTGTTCATACACTCGCCGAGTCCCATGATTTCCAGGTCCATAATCACGTCCATCTTGTTGAGTCCCCTTCTAGACTCAACCAGATTCCTCAGAAACAGAAAAGGTTGGGGAACCAATACCTGACTCGCCGAGTCCCATGAACGACTCGTCGAGTCCCCTAAAGTCCATATCTATAAACTCGATTTCTGTTGAGCTCATCTCGTCCAAAGGGTAGATCTGACCTCCTAGGGTCGATATAACACATAAAGTCACGAACTTTACGTCCATGCATGAGTCTTTAAGCTCAAAAGACCCAAAAATGAGGTCTACAAGATGCATGGGGCTTTCATGGCCATAAAGTTGGCACCTTTATGCCATTAGAACCCTCCAAGGTTCAAGATCTGAAGCCATTACTCTACATTACACTCTAAACCCGAAATGGCTTAGAAATACCCCAAAGATGTCAAGATCCAAGCCCTAAAGTAGGTATAACAAATAAGAAGTCAAGGTTGGAGCTTTTTACCTCCAACAAGATGGAAATGCAACCAAATCTCTGGATCTACTGACTTCCTCTTGAATCTCCAAGTCTTTCCTTCCTTCTTCAAACTTCAAATCACAAAGAATGGCACAAAAATAGCTCAAGAACACTCAAAAGTTGATTAGGGTTTCGTGAATAGGGTTTGGAGGTGATGGAGGCTGGGGTAGAGGCCTCATAAAGTGTTTAAATAGGGTGCAAACCCTCAAATTTAGGGTTTCACTCAGACAGCTCCTACTCGCCGAGTCGGTCTCCCGACTCATCGAGTAGGTCACTTACCCCCCCCCCCCCCGATCCGAAGTCGAACCAACTCGACGAGTTGTGCCTCCAACTCACCGAGTCCCAGTGTAAAGTATGAAGTTTTGCTTGAATTTAAATATGTACCTAAAACCGGGTGTTACATCATCTCTCAAGCCAATGGTCCTAGCATGATGGTTGTGCTTGACCCTGCTCAGAGCCTTCGTTAAAGGGTCTGTAAGATTATCTTCTAAAGACACACGTTTCACCAGGAAATGCCCGTCTTCAATCCCATGTATGATGTATAGGTACTTTATGTCGATATGTTTAGATGTCCTGTGATTCTTTGGTTCTTTAGTCAAAGCAACCATGCCTTCATTATTGCAGAATAGTTCCATTGGCTCTTGAATGGTCAGGACTACTCCGAGATCCCCGATGGAATTCTTCAACCTAGCCACTTCCTTCAATGCTTCACTTGCTGCAATGTACTCTGACTCACAAGTAGAGTCAACTACCGTTGATTGCTTGGAGCTTTTCCAAGTCACTGTTCCACCATTCAACAAGAATACCCAGCTAGATTGAGAACAAAAGTTATCACGATCTGTATGGAAGCTGGCATCGATGTAGCCACTCACTCTCAATGTATCATTACGGCCAAGAACTAGGATCATGTATTTTGTTCTTCATAAATACTTGAGTATATTCTTGATTATAGTCCAATGGGCTCTACTGGATTTCCTTGAAAGTGACTAACTATGCTTAAAGCAAAAGCCACATCAGGACAAGTACATTTCATAACATAAATGATCGATTTTATAGCCGAAGCATATGGGACTCGACTCATGTCATATATTTCTTCGTCATTACTAGGACTTTAAGTCTTACTCAATTTGACGGTAAAAAGAATCGACAAATCCCATTTCTTGGAGTTCTCCATATTGAAATGCATCAATATGTTTTCCAAGTATGTACTCTGGCTAAGACCAATAACGCGTCTCTTTCTATCCCTTAAAATTCTTATCTCGAGAATATAGGCCGCTTCCCCTAAATCTTTCATAGCAAAGCAATTCCCAAGCCAATATTTTACTTCTTGCAAATTTGGAATGTCGTTTCCAATAAGGAGTATATCATCAATATGCAATACTAGGAAAATTATTATATTCCCACTAGTTTTGACATATACGCATGACTCAACCTCACTTCTACATAGTCTAAACTCTTTGACTTTCTCGTGGAAGCAAAGATTCCAGCTACGAGATGCTTGTTTCAATCCATAAATGGATTTCTCAGGCTTGCACACTCTATCAGGATACTTGGCATGTATAAAACCTTCTGGTTGACTCATATAGACGTCTTCAGTTAACTTCCCATTTAGGAAAGCGGTTTTAACATCCATTTTTCATACCTCATAATCATAAAAGGCAGCAATGACAAGCATTATCCTGATAGGTTTTATCTTAGATACTAGTGATAATGTCTCATCATAGACAATCCTTTGGGTTTGAGTAAAGCCCTTCGCAACCAGCCTAGCTTTGAAAGCATGTACTTTTCCATCCATGTCGGTCTTCTTCTTGAAGATCCATTTGCAACCTACAGTCGACCAAGTTCTTGGTCAACTAAGTTCCACAACGAGTTATTTTGATGATGTGGCATTTTAAATTAGATTTCTATATATTTTTAATGGCCATAATATCCATTTTGAAAAATCATTACATTTCTATATAATTGATTCTTCTTCTTCTTCCACCATAATTACCACCATCACTGTCAACCACCCATCCCCATCATCACCATCAACCACAAAACAATAATTTTCCCCATCTAAATCCCACTTCTATGTGTAAAAAATTAAAATGGCAAAACTTATCTTCAAGTTGCTTGCTTTCATCTTCATCTCTACCTCTATTCTTTCTACTCGCCATGTTGCAACTCCAATGGGGTATCGTTCTATATTTCACTTCATATTCTAATTTCATTAACACGGATCAAGAACTTTTGAAAAAAAGAAGAAATAGTTGAATATTGGGTTCATAAAAAACCCAAATCAGAAACTAAAAAAAATGTCACTGTCTTTGTCTTTAAATCAAAATCCATATTTGTCTTGAAAGAAACCCTAATCAAAATCATTCTTTGTCTTTGACGAAAGCTACCATTGTAGACTACAATCACCATTAATCTCAAATCCGATCAGAAATCAATCGGAAACTAAATCTAAGTCAATCGGAAACCAAATCAAAGACAATCTGAATCAAAACATGGATGAATCTTGAACCCATATGAAGAAACCTCACTCCATCAATCGAAAAAAAAAACATTAATGTCAGGGGAAGCGGAGAAACCAACATCAAAGAGCATAAAAATGAAACCATCGTTGTCGTCGCCTAGTGATATGATTGAATCTTCCGATCTTGACTCTCTAATGGTTGAATCCCTAGCCTATGATACAACTAGATACTAATACAGAGAGCCCGGTTCCAATTATGATGACATCACCTCTATAATAACCCTCGAGGAGTTTCAATTTGGCTTCCTCCACGGCGGCGGCGAAGCCGAAGTTGATGATGGGTCGTCGTCTTCATATTCATCTATATCTTCTGTTGATCTGTTGACAACAAGGGTAGGTGTTCACTAAAGCTGGCTCCATAACATCAACAAATTCATCTATGGTTTGGAGGGTTCATCCGACAATATGTTTCCTGAATTCGTACCGACAAGGGAAAGAGTTGCGGTGGAGGTTAGGAGTGGGGGAAATTGGATGATTTCGAGATAAGTATCATAAAAATCGTAACAAGTATGGTGATAGAAAAACTCCAAGCATTCTAATCAAGCACCAACCAAAAAATTCCACAACATACCAAACACACTACCAACATTCTAATCAAGCACCAACCAAAAAATTCCACAATGTACCAAACACACTACCACCAAAGCTAGCGGAACCAAAGAAACTTTTCATATGAAGATACAACTTGAGCACATCCTTCCAATATGAATACCAATTTCCTAGTATGAACAAAAAAATAATAAGAAGAAACCAGAAGAGTATATCATTTATTCTAAAATCCTAACCCCATTAAAGCCAAACCCTAAATATTTCCACATATTCAATACTCAACAATTTTTAGATCATCCAATATCAATGAACCTTCAAAGTAATATTTATCTTCCTAAATCTTTCATCTTCACTGACACACACTTGTGTTGAAAAACATAACAAGTATGAGATGAAATCAAAAGAAAAATCAAAAATTAAACCTGAGAATGAAATCAAAATCAAAATCATCATCATTCCAAAAAAAATATGGAACAAAATCATTTTCATGAATGTTCCTCTTCTTAAACATCGAAATAGAAACTGGGAATGAATCATTTTCATCGTCAACGTCTTTGTGGTACTGGAATCATAGGAACTAAAACAAGAAACTTAGAGATCTGCAACATTTGTCTTTATGTATTTGGTTCGACCGATGAGATCAAAATGAGGTTGGAAAAAGGACTTACGGTGGCGAGGGCACCAAAGATGAATCACGACGGTGGGCGGATGCGAGACCGTAGAAGGTGTGTCCCGATGGCGGTGGGAATTCTTTATCTTTGTTGATTGGTGAAGTGGGGGGATGAGAAAGGAAGGATGACATTCGTACACAACAGTTCTTCTCCATACACAACAATTTATGTTTTAAAATGTTGTATTGTACAACTCCATAAAGCATAAATTGTTGTGTATAGAGAAAAATTGTTGTGTACAAATCACTCCCTTTATTTATAAAACCTCTCATTATTTGTACATTAATCCCTTACCAACCGTTTAATGTGAATTTATTTAAAAAGTAATATATGAAAATTTAAAAATAATAATAATAATAGGGATATAAATGTCTTTTTACATACAACTAACGACTAGTTATTAACGGAGTTAGTTAAAAGGAAGAAACTTCGTAACATTTAGAAACCACAGAGACAATCAATATGACGTTTTGGTTAGTTGTGCTTAAAATGAGACTTTATGAAAAAGCCCTAAGGACTAATTTTAAAATTTTGTTTAAAGTAACATCATCTAGAAGAATAAACTGAGGAGAGAACTTTCGTGTGGAAACTTAATTAAATATTACAAATGGTGGAATTTCTCAAAGGAATCATCACATTTACACGTTTAATCGTGCGAAAAAGAGTACATTTACACGCATTTCCAATAAGAACACCGTCAGTGATGTCGCCCCAAGTTCGTCGTTTGCGCGTATCATTTCGTCGTTATACGGTGAGTCCTTTCTATCTGCCTATAGGTTTTTGATCAAGTTTAAAGGAGTGAAATCCTTATGTATCGAACTTCTATCTTCGGGTCTTCGTGCTGTCGATAATCGTTTGTTAAAGTGGAAGGTTAAGTTTGGTAACAGAATCGAATCGATTATATTTCTGTTCCCGAATTCAATTTCTGATAAGGATGGTTTATATCTTAATGGAAATGGGGATGAAGATGAAAACAAAAGACGTCGCATTCCGTATCAGTGTCTGAAGGATGTGACGGCTAGGCATATGATGATGTTGTACTTGGTTAAGGATCTGCCATTGTTAGAAGAGGTTTCTGTTACTGATTCCAGGGGAAGAGGGAGGCTTTCTCTGAGTGGGAAAAAACTCAGTGAGGTGAAGGAATGGGTACATTCAACTTCGGAAACTGTGTTCAATCGTGTAGAGGTTCCTGATATAGTAAATAACTGTTATATTCCAGTTTTGAAATTGCCAGTTTCAGGGTACGTGATGAAGGGGATATATTTTGGTGTAATTGAGATGAATGGTTTCCAGGGTGGAAACGATGGTCTTATGAACAGTGAAGATGGTTTTGAAGATAAAGAAGAGGCTGCATATACTGAAGCTATGATGGAGATTTTGGAAAAGCATAAGGGCATGATGCATAGGTTTATGTAGTATGAATAAGGTGCATTGTCTGATTGATTACATGTGTATTTTTTATTAAAGGCATGATCAAAGAATACACATATATTAATGGGTCCTTATGTTAATTGTCATAAACTCTGTTCTTTAAGCTTGTTCCAATCTTGAGCCCCTTTTGTGTTTAATATTTTTGTAGATTTACCACTCTCTTTGAAACTTACCCCTTAAAAGAAACCAACTTTTAGAAGATGAACTGATGAAGCAATTTATGTCATTACATTTTGTGTTAACTTTGTACTTTCTTTTTTGCAGTTGCGCAACATGTTAGAGGCATAAAAGCTTTTGGATGCACAAAACCTGCTCATTGGTTGTTTAATAGTATGAAATGAAGTTGTATAGTATAAAGACCGACGTGGTTACAGTTTTAAATGTTCTTTGTGCTTTGAAAGTTAATGAAGGCGATGTTGAGGGGTTCCTTTTCTTGTTTTCTTGAATTCCATCTGGTTAGTTTTGTGTCCGTAAAACTTGAACCTTTTTTTTTTTTTTTTTTTTGAGATTACATAGAATTGATGCATTGGTCTTTATATAATTTATAAATGTTACGTTGAAAATTTGTAGATTTTGATTAATTACATGTATTGTAATATTATGTCGTGTATTTAATATTGTTGTCTGGTAATTTTAAAATTTAGAAATATTGCATATGCTTAATACTAACAAATTATATGAGAAAGCTTTATAAAATATTCTCAAAGATTTTTCCAAAGATGTGGGGTAAATTAGATATGTTCATAAGAGCTTTTAAAATGGTAAATGATTGGAGATGATTTAAGTTAATAACATTTTGTTTAATAAATTAGGGCATCTTTAATTATTAACTCAAAAAAATTTTATTTTTTTCACCTTATTTTTCCACTTACTTTTATTTGACAAATAACTTTTATCAAATAACTTCTCCAGGTTAATATCAATTTTTTTTTTCTAAAATTAAATGATTTATTATTTATCTTTCTTAAATGTTTTTTTTAACCCCACTCATATAATTTATTATTTAACTAACACATCATATTTTTAAAAAGTTACTTATAATTAAAATAAATAAAAATAGTACAATATGAATAGACACTTAATGCCATATAATAAAACTAAAAAAATAATTTTGTCGTCTATTTTGTCCCAAACTAGAAAACATAACAATTTTACGTAAGTTAAAAAAAATGATAAAAGATTATCTAACTCCAACGTTTTTTAATATTTGATATTTTATTATTCTAAAAGTTTTGACAAATATTTTAAGTTATGTTATGATATCGCCATATTTAGTCATATATTTTATATGATCTTATAAATTTTAGCTACATTTTGTCTTAATTGAGATATTTGGTATTTATAATGTTTAAAATTTGTTTTGTAACATCGGAGATATCATCGGGAGAAAAGGAATTAGAGAAAAGGAGCTAAAGTGTTGTGTTGGAAGTTGAGAATGGAAACAATCATCAAGGAGCAAAAAGTCAACAACTTATGAAAACCACGTCGTGGCAAAACACTTACCACACCACGGTGAGGTGTCATGATCGATATACTAACCGAATAGAGTACAACACGGATTATTTGGAGGGTACGCAGAGGAGACGACACCACGCCGTGGCAATCACATCACATTGCCAGAGCACTGTGGCATAATTTTTGGAAAAATTATAAATACGAACCTCTTTCATTCTCTGGAGGATACGTCGATTATTACTCAAACTTTGACGACTAGAGAACCCTCAAACTAGAGATCGAGATCAGAGCGAGAATTGAAGAGATCGAGAGTCAAAACACGTTTAATCATTCAGTTTGCTTTGTTTAATCATGTCTAGCAAAGTTTACTATGACTTTATCTATGTTTTTACTTTGTTATGGGCTAAAAACTCTTTACTTTCGTTTAGAATAGATGAACCTTGAACCTATGTGTTGATTTCATGATTTCGGATTTAATCTAGTCGTTTATTTATTATGATTGCTTGATAAGATCCTTATGTGTTAAAGTAATTATTTTTTCTATTTATTGTTGAGTATTATTAGGGTTAGATGATCATTCTATCTTAATATGCTTGTATCACTTGATTTTATGAACTGTAGAATTGGTTGACTAGAGTTGGATCAAAACCTAAGGTTAAATAGAAAAGTTGGTAACCTAGTCATGGGGATTCATGATAGGTAGATCTGCAAAAGAAAATATGAACTCTTCATTGTTGCTCCCTCGCAATGCTTTGAACTTGTAGTTAATGAACTCACCGTTCATTATGCTCTCAGCTTTGTACTCTCCAATTGTAGTTATCTTTTTAAAACTCCACACTTCGTATTGTGGATTTGATTGCGAGAGTAGAATTCAAGAAGATTCTTGTTTGTGACTCCATTGTTTATTGCAACACCATAAGTTTTTCGAAAACTTCTAAACAAAAGGGCTCTTGCTGTCATCGAAAAATCTAATTGACAATCAACTTTATTCTCCAAAGCTAATGATGATCTTGAATTTAGCAAATATTTTTCAACGTTCTTGATGGCATCATCTATCATTCTGTCACAACTAGCATTTTCAACTAGGAGATTCTATTTCCATGTAAATATCAGCTGTTGTAAAACTTGTACTCTAAGTGAATATCATGCTATGCTAACATGAAATCATCCATTTGAATCCAAACTCCTGATTGAAGTTCAAAACCTAATACAATACATCTCATATGTTCAACTATGGATTGAAAACCCTAAAAATCCTGACTCAAGTTTATTATGGAGTAGGATCATTTTATTGGGCCTAATGGACCAATAAACTTTCAATTTGACTACCTTGGGCCTAGGAACCCTATTTGGGCTCTAATTGGACCCACATCCATGAAATTAAGGTATTTTGGGTCATATGGACCTATAATGATCCATCTTATTTCTAATGGGCCATGATGGGCCATAACTAGTTTCATAAGCCCTAATGGGCCGTAAACTACATCCTTGGGCTTCATTGGGACGTGAACCCTCATAAGGGCCCAATAGGCCAAAAAATATTTATTTTGGGCCTCATAAACTCGAACTAAGACAAGAAAGGGCCCAAATCCTCTCATCTCCTTTCTCCTTACCCATTCTTGGCCCAACAATAATACAAAAAAAAGAGAGAGATTAACTAGCTAATTGCATGACACCTCACTATGGACTAGAGGTTACCTAGGCATATTATCCATCATGTATCAATAAATCCCATACCTCCATGCAACATCAACTCACTCTTCTCCAAAGTCAACTTTCCACCTCTCTCTTATCTCTCACTCTATCTCTCGACCTCTCTCTCACTCTCCAACCTCTCTAACATTTCAAGATCAATACTTATTCTCTCAACACTCTTCCACCCTTATTCTCTCAAGAAAATCGTGGGTATAAGGAAGATCTTCAAGAGAATCACTTCAAGCTTCACATTGTGGTAAGATCTTACAAACCCTAGTTGATATACTTCATTTTTAAGCTCAATCACTCCTCTTACACCCATGTTTTCGTGAATCATGCTTCTTAGAACCATCTAAGTTCGAAAACCTTCTCAAGAAGCTTGCTATTGCCGAGATCTTCTCATTTCCTCACCAAAAACCGAAAACATCAAAGAAAAGTGAGTTCATACCCCCTATTTTCGATTTTCACATTATTTTGGGGGAGAATACAAGTTGTTTTGTGTAGATCTATGTGTGTATGCATGATTTTGTGTGTTTTCTTTAGTTACATATGTGTTTATGTGTTGAAAACTTCATAAACTAAAAGATCTACTAAAAGATGATAATATTGGTATAACATAACACTTATTTCAACATATCTCACAAGAAAAAGGTTTAAAATACATCAAGGATACTTGAATCTAAGAAAAACTTCATGAAAGGGGCTAAAAATGACAAAAGTGACAAAATAGGGGTTGTTTATGTAACTCTCGGCTAGTAAGGGGTTCAAAAGGGAATTTTTGCTAAATAATGGCTAATCTCGACATTTGGGACCTTATAGGGACCAAAAATGTAAACATTTTCATAAGTGGGCCTTATTTGGGATTCTCACGGTTTTGGGCCCAAGAATTGAAAATTTTGGTCTTTTATGGGTTAAATGGTCATTTTCAAGAAAGTTGTGTCCAAAAATGTAAATTTTTGATAAAACGGGTCAAAGTTGCGAAATTATGAACATTTGGGCCAAAAAGATGAAACTTTCTATAAATGGGCCGAAAATATAAATGGGCCGAAAATGTATATTTTCACAAAAATCAAGCCAAAAATGATATTTTTGACAAAAATGAGTTAAAAATGTTATTTTTACAAAAACTAGCCTTAAAATACAAGTTTTGTCCAAAATGGGGCCTAAAATGTTATTTTTACTAAAATTGGGTCTTAGTTGTAAATTTTTGGCTTATTGGGCCAAGAATGTCATTTTTACAAAAAGTGGGCTTTTTATGCTATTTTTGTAGCCCCCGATTCCTGGTACATATTTAAATTCAAGAAATATTGCAATTTACTCTGGGACTCGGCGAGTTGGGGGCCCAACTCGTCGAGTAGACTCGACTGTTGATCGGGGGTTTAAGTGACCTACTCGACGAGTCGGAAGACCGACTCGACGAGTAGGAGCTGTCTGGACAAAACCCTAATATTTAGGGTTTGCACCCTATTTAAACAACTTAACTCGTCCCAAACCAGCCTCCATCGTCCCTCTCACTTCCAGAATACCCTAACTCGAAACCCTAGCCTTGTTTGAGTGCTCTCAAGCCATTTTTGTGCATTTTTGTGTGTGTTTGAAGTTGGAGAAGAGAAGGAAGCTTGGGAGTTCAAGTAGAAGCAAGGAGATCCAGAAGTTTTACTTCATTCTTAGCTCATTTAAGGTAAAAAGATGGAACCTTGACCATTTATCTCTTAGATTTTGTTTTGGGGTTATTTCTACCCTTTTAATGAGTATAGAGAAGAAAAAATCGAATTTGGTGGATGTGCTTAGAGTTGCACTTCAGATCTAGGGCTATTGGGGGTCTTTATGGCATAAAG